AATTCATCTGAGCAGGAAAAAATAAATTGTGTGAGCACATCCCTCCTCAGTTATACAGCCAGAAACAAATTCGGTTTCAACGCATATGGCAGCTGGGCAGGGACTTGGAAGCTTTAGTCCCATTGCAGTTTGGATACAGTTGCAGCTCTTTGTTCAGTAAATTCTTTCCACTGAAATAATTAAGATCGGGATTGAAGAGTTTTGGCATAGCTTTGCAAGGAAACATGCAGAGACCCACCGCATGGTCTCCTCCATTGTCCCTGGCATGCTGCTGGTTTTATGAGTATTAAGCCATTAATGCATACAAGCATTCAGTAATAAATTAGGAAACATTTAATTCATTCTCTCCTCCCCCTCAAAGTATATTTTTCGCACAAGAAAGCTTTGTTTTTAAAGGTCTAGATGTTACAATGTGTTCACATTTTCAGAAAATCCTTCAAATAAATGTCCTTTAGCCTCCAGCCAAAGCCTCTTGCCATCTGTATGGGCAAAGTGAATCCTGTGAAACAGGGTCATCCAGAACATTTTCCAGTTAGACAGTTACGTGAGAAGTTCTGTCTCAGTGGAACCGAAGGATAAGATCTTTGGTTTAATTCAAGGGTAAGATTTGTAGGATTAAGCTCATAAAGAGACAGACAACAGAAATGGCAGGTGAAGGTGCCCCCCATCATGATGGCACACATCATCAGGTAGTGCTATTTTATGCCATGTTCCCAAGTTTGCTTTCACGTATAGAAATAAGCAGAAGGGCATAGGTTTTCGGAAAAGAACATACTTAAGTGCAGGAGATTTTGTCATTTGCTCTCAGGCTGGGCTAGACTCAATTCCTAGCTTGTATGCAGAGCTGTTCTGTGGGAACAGAATTTCTGGGTTTAGCTGCACTTCCCAAAATAACCACAGTTAATTGCAGTCACTTGCAAGTTATTTAACTACATCCATTCCAGGCCTACTGTCCACAGTAATATCTAAAGATATTACACTTAGTACAGCCCCATTCTGGTTCCTCCAGAGCTGGGAAGCCACCTGCAAAGCCATAGTCTCTGCTAACACTCAGGATGGAAACCAGCGCCTGCAAACAGGACAACAGCATTTTACTGTTACTAAGCAACAAGATAGCAAACGTCAGATGCTAAAAATTCAGGATCCACACTGGCTAAAACTAGAAGAATACCTTTGAAATATCTCATGTTTTAAAGACAATACAATCTGAATGCTTTTTATCTGCTTTCTGGTTTCTTCTTTAAAAAACAGTAATCATAAATCAAGGTTCGATGTCCTTAGAGTTCCTCTGCAAAAACGACAGCCTGAAACAAATGCACTATAACAAATGTCAGGGATTGCATACACTCACACAGCTCCAGGGGCTGGAACTTGGAAGAAAAACCCACTACTTACTGCGAGATCTCTGACAGGAGACCAAACACGTAACAGTTAGCAAGGCTGTCATAATACATCATTGCAAAGATGCACCAGCCCGGCAACAGCATGTAGTACTCAGAGACATTTACTAGGTGAAAGATGTTCCTTACTGGATTAAGGGCAAACAAATAAAACCACACGCGTTTGAGCGCTCGCACAGATGCTAATCCAATAAACAAATAAGCACCTGAATTACTGAGAACTGCTAGAAGAATAAGTTGCTCATGAGCCTGTATTCCTGAGGGATCACTGCTTTTAAAAACCAAATTGCCACTCGGATGTTTGAAGAGTAACTTCCTGCTTAATTAGCCAGCCTTATTTGGAGAATTCACTAACATTATGACCTTCCATCCTTCCTCTTTTCAAAAGCCATCGACTTCTAAAATCAGAGGGGATGGAATAAGGAGAAGTTAGGCAGCCAGATACAGAATTAATCGCATGAACACTTGATACTTTCCTTACAATTATTCTGAATCGTTTTGCATCAGGTTAAAGGGAAAAAAACATCAAATTCAATAATTTCTCCATATTTCCCAGCATTAAGTATTCCACTGGACACTTAGCTGCTGGCCGTTAAACTTCAGGACAGCAACTGAACAGTTCTTTGACCATTAGGAAATCACTCAACAACAAAAAGGCCTTATTTACCACAGCTGCACTTCACTGCAAAAATAGCGAGCAACTGAGTACGCCTTGAGGCGGCCATTACAAGTATGCCATGGCAACTTCAGCATCGAGCAGCGTTAACTATCTAGAAGTCCCGTGATGTTGAGCACGGTCTGCACAGAGCAAGAGGTCTGAAGGCTTTACAGTCCAGCACTCCGATTCTGGGCTTGAAAATACACACACAACCAGTGTGGGGCAGGATCATGCTTTCTTGATGTAAATAGCAGAAGCAGGACCTAATGCCTTAGCTCTCCATAACTTCTGAAGCTGACGAAATGTCTCTCAAGCCTTGGCTCCCCAAACAAAGACCAGCTTCTCCTCCAGAGGTGCTCATCTAAACTACTCCAAAGCCACCTCTCTATTTTTCTTGAAATCCCAGGATAAAACTTTGCTTTGGCGATAATAAAAAAAAAAATTCTGAACAATAAGCAGTAGATAGGAAGTCAGTGCATGCAGGCCCTGCCTTTCTGCTCCTTGCTACTGTTCCCTTCTATTGAGATCTAGCTGTTGCTATTCATGTTACACAGTAGTTTTAACCTCTGGCTGGTAAGACCTGCCCCCCTCTTCTATGCTGGTACAGCATTTGGAGATGCAGTCCACAAGTTCAATGCTTAGAGCCTACAGTAATACCAATCATTTGGATTTCACTGAACTTCTGTCAGTTTGCACTGGGTGAGGACCTGGCCCAAAGCACAAAGGATTAGGCCGATCTGCCTGATCTTTCTGCATCTTTCTTGAAGAATATCAGAGATGTTTTCTTGGAGAAGTAAACTGTGAAGTCAGGGAGCCATGAATAGGCCTTTTTATTGAACTCTTAGTTCAACTGATTGCTTGTAAAATCAGCACAAGCAAGGTTATTGCTCAAGATCACAGAATGCAGCTGAATACATTGAATAATTTTTGAATCAGGGCCCAGAATCAGGAAGGGGAGATCTGAAACATGCCTTAATACATCTCATTTAATTCCATTATTACTTCTTCCTTTCTCCCCTCAGCATATTTACCTTCACCCACAGGGGGAAAGTCTCTCCAGGAAGTCATTGCTAGTAAAGGCATATTCCTTGTACATCTGATTGATCAGCATTAATGTCTCACTGCATGGAATGCAGTAATCCACCCTCACACATAATTAACATTATCCACTTTAATACCATCAGGAATGCAGGCTCTCTTCCCCCGAACCCCAAAGGATTTTGGCTGTGAAAGTGTCCAACATTTCAAGGTCACCCCAGCAGCCCAGTGTTGGAAGTTATTCACCCATTTGCTTATATAAATTTGCATGAGGAAAATGAGTGGTTCTAACTTAAGGCAAAACCGGGACATCCTCTCCCCATTGCTGGAGGAAGATACCTGCCCTTCGGGAAAAGGAAACACGAGGAACCTCAAAACTGCTCCTGTTCTACTCCCCTCCTGACTCCATCCCAAGCATCAGACATAGGGTCTGCAGACCCATCTGGTTCTGATCCCTTGCTGCTCTCTCTTCCCTGCCCGGGCCTAACCAGCTCTGTCACAACATGTGACTCACTGCCAGGGTGAGTAAGTTGAAGCCTGTGGCAAGCGGTGGCGATCCCGCTAGAGATGGAGCTATTGCCCCCGTAGTCCCAACGCCTCTCTCTGACCCAGACCCCACATGAAAGCCGCTTTCTCCAAAACCATCTCTCTCTCTCTCAAGAGAGCAGATAACCAACCTATCCCCACAACAAGCCATCTTCTGTTGTGAAGCGCTTAATATAGAACGTAAGTGGTGGAAGCGTCTCACCACTAGAGGAGTCATTCAGTGGCTAAACAGTTGATGTTAGAGATTCTGGAAATAAAAAAAATAAACAGAAATAAATAGCTGGTCTCAGGATCAGAGAGGAGTACCAGGCTATGTGGGCGTTTGGGGACATGTCCCATAGGATGAGGGTGGTTGGCTAGCCATTGACTTCATGAGACAGTCCTTGGCTCAAGGAGCTCCCAGTAAAAAGCAAATGGAAAAAAGGGGAGGAAAGAAGGGAGATGACTTGCCTAGGGCCTCTCAAGCAACCACTGGCAGAGCTGAGAGTTGGTACTGGACTGTGGAATCCCACCCTCGTGCCTTTTCCACTAGGCAACACTGCCACCTGCCTATGTACGGGCCTCATCGAGGCAGGATATTTGGCCTCGATTTCCCAGATGACAGGATCCCAATTAGAACAATACATCAGACTGCCAGGACTGGAAGCCATTCTGACTAATGCCAAGTCAGAAGTGAAAACTACACAAACTACATGGTGAAGGCAAACCATTGCCTAGTGACAAGAAGCATGTCAGAAACCCAAACGTGAGTAGCACAGGTCTCTCCTTGCACGCACCACAGTCTTGATAAACAAGTAACTCTTGTTTCTGCAGCTGCTGCTTTGAGGCTGGAGTAAGTTCACATGTATCTATTCCAATTAATACCATTTTAAAAAGAACCTCACTGCTTGTTCACTGACATCCTTGCTACCAGCTACATACAATTAAACACAGAAGAAATGAGAGGCTTCAGCTCTAATTGGTTTTGTCTATTGTAGAGAAGTCATTTTGGGAAGACTAACGCAGCTGAAAAACTGTTCCATTCACCAACCACACCAATCCTCTTAGTGGGTTTTTTAAGAGGGAAAAATGAAATCACAGCTGTATAATATACTGAGAGCTCAGAGGCAAGCAATGCCAGTGATTATCCAGCACAATGAGATCGAATAGCACAATGCCAACAGTGATGGCTTCCCTGGAAAAAACAAGGCCTTTCAAAAATATTATCTAAATCTAACCAGGGCCCCTGTGACAGCCAGGCAAATTTGCCAAGCACAGAGACAAAGCAGTAGCTGTCAGAAGCTCTGTGCCCCATATCTAGGAGGTAGACAAGGAAATGTAGGACTATTTAGGTACTGAATGCTTACTTACATAAGAAAGATCAATTGTCAATGGAGGGCCTCTTCTCAAACTGCTAGAGCCATTGCTCTGAAAAAAATAAAAGAGTATCCAATTAGAAAACAGCACTGCAAGACTAGCACATCTTCTGCTTCCAGCTGGGTACTTGCTTCTTTCCTCTGTGGAGTGTATCACTAGTTGTTACAGCAATCAGCCACCTTCTTGCAGTACAACGCTTTTAGTGGACAAAAAGAGAGTAGGCAAGGATTTGTACAGAAGCACGTGTTTTTCTCCACCTTTATTCTTAAGCTTCTCTGTGGGACCAACAGGACCAAACCAGTCCTATAAAGCTTTGTAGACACCGCACATTTGCATGGAGGCATACTTAACACAAGCTGGCAAGTCCCTACCTTTTCTCTTTCCCAAGCCAGCACACAAACACACTGGCTGACCTTCCAGTTCAATCCCTGCCTCAACACTGTTGATCCCAGTGCTACGGGCACCAAACCTACTCTTCCTCTGGCTGCATGACAAAGGGCCATTCTTCTGAACTCCCCTGCTGGAGTGTCTCACTGAATGAAAGTCTGTCATCCCCCCTCCCAGGAACCCAAATACATATATCTTTGCCCTAAAATTCCTCAGTGTGGCCTGGAAATTGCCTTCTTTCCCTGTCCTCCCACCTTGGCAATCATATGTCCCTCCTCGCTGTTGCAAGCAGCCAGGTATGATTTCAGATAAAGAAAGATGCTGATGCGAGCCCTGTGGCTCTGCCTGGCCCAGATGGACTCTGCATCCCCTCAGTTTATAATCACAGAATCACAGAATCGTTTAGGTTGGAAGGGACCTCTGGAGATCATCTAGTCCAACCTCCCTGCTCAAGCAGGGTCACCTAGAGCAGATTGCCCAGGATCACATCCAGACGGGTTTTGAATATCTCCAGCAAAGGAGACTCCACCACCTCTCTGGGCAACCTGTTCCAATGCTCTGTCACCCTCACAGTGAAGAAGTTTTTTCTCAGGTTCAGATGGAACTTCCTGTGGTTCAGTTTCTGCCC